TTGTTTGTCCAAGTAAAGAGTGATCCTCGATATGGTAGATCATGGAGGCCAAGAGTGTACAAGAAATTGGCGAAGCGTGTCATAGTCGGGGTTTGATGGCTAAAAGACGGGGCAGAGTGCTGTGCTAGTAAGAGGATTTCATTGAAATCCCCTCCGAGGATCCATGCTCCACCTCTTGGCTGTACAAACTGCTGGTGAGTTTGAAGAAGCTGGCTCCATAGGGCATCTCTATCAGCTACTTGATTGGGAGCATAAATAGCTGATAGGATGAAAGGCAACCACCCTTGGACTGTCATCTCAACAGTTATCTCGTTTGCAGTGCGTTTGAGCAATTGAGCCGAGGCCTCTCCTCTGAATAGAACCCATATTCTACCTAGATTGCTTTCTTGATAGTTATCCAATCTTGACCAATCTTCTCCCAACTTTGCGAGTATTCTGTTTGCATTTGGTTCCTGAATGTGTGTCTCAAACAATGCTCCAAAAATCGGTTTTTGTGTTGCAAAGAAATGTCGTAACTTGACTTGTTTACAACCATCATTTAGGCCTCTAACATTCCAAAAGAAACCTTCTATTACACAAATTTAGGGGTTAGATATTCTCCCCGCCTCCCCTGATTGTGGAGGCGATGGTAAGGGGTCCTTTCCTGCAGGGGAACTCACGGTTGGGTTGGTCGGGTTTTGTGGTGCGTGTGATATGAGTGGGTTATAGGGATGGTTAGGATGTTTGTCAAGTGTGTCTGGTTGACATATAGGTGATTGGGGTGATGGTTGCGGGATGTTCTGACTAGGTGGAGTCGGTAGCTGCTGTGTAATCTGGTTGGGTGGGAAAATTTGTGGATTTATGATAAGTGGTTGGTTGAGTGAGATGTCTGAGTTTCTAGGGATTGCTTCAGCGTATTTAGAAGGGATTGCCAAAGAGTGTTGAGGATGCATAATAACTAGAGGCTGAGTTGTTCTCTTGGAACAGAACTTCTCGACATGTCCGAATTCCTTGCACATATTGCACTTAGGCGGGATCCATCTGTACAGAGCATCTATGGTGTCGACAGTTCCATCTTCCAATTCGATTTCAACTTCAGTTGGCAGGTCCTTAGTGAGATCGACTTCAACCTTGACATCCACCGAATTTATGCTCTCGATAGGTTTATAAGCTCTCGGCTCTCCCACTGTTCCCGCAATATAGCTAATTCATTCTCTTAGCAAGTTGAGGGGGACATTTGTGAAATGTACCCATTCGGGGCTGATTTCAGAGATGGAGGTTCTCGGACTGTTTCTGGGGTCCATTTTCGGACAAAGCAAGCATGGTTACCAACATACCATAGTTCTTGTTCCACTACAGCTTCTCTAATCTTCGCCGATGGAATTTTTACCAACAGAGAGCTCCATGATAAGTGATGGATATCTACTCTTTGATCCTTGCCCTACAAGTAGTTGAATACATCATGTATCTTAGACATACGGGGGATAGTACCATAGAAGGAGCAGATTACATACTCTTGGTACTGTAGAGCACCGGATTCGATAACTGAGTTAGGGATCTTTACTCGTATTCTTCCTGTTTCCGATAATTCTGCATCATCAATACGCTTCAATTCATAGGTTGGACCCCTAACTTTGCTGGCCTATGAGGGTTTTGAGTGTGGAGGTTTCGACCCTTGAGTTGTTGGGACCGTAGTAGAGAATTTTTTCTTTGCGGAAGTATCAGAGACCGAACCCATATTCCCTCAGGTCGAGGTACAAGGGCCTGTAGGAGAGGAGTGAGAAGTGGCCTGAACTAGGGATTTAGTAGTGGCGGAGAGAGAAGAATGGGTGATGACAGTTCCACGACCCTCCACCTCGATGACAGATCCATCTCCGAATCGCACCTTTAGGTGGGTAGTGGAGATTTTGGCCTGTGGAGTGGATGTGACCTAGGGTTAGGTAGAGGGGGTATTCTTTGGCATATTGGCCAGAGTCTGGTAGAATCAGAGGAGGGGATGAGGAGGGCGAGGGTCCTTCGATCGTTTGAGACATCGAAGAAGTGGGCTACGAGGAATTACGGTTCCCTCTCTTATCGCGAAGTCGGGAAGATGACCGGCGACTAGGAGGAGGTGAAACTGAAACTTTACTCGAGGAATGAATAGGGGGGCGAGGATTTGGATCTAGGCGTGTGATGGGAGGCGGAGGGGGAATATATATATAGAGAGAGAGATGAAGCCTCATATATGGAATCACAAGATATCTCCGATGCCTTTCAGTGGTACTCTCGTAATAACTTACAACCCCGAGGGCTATTCCATATCACCAACCTTACATATACGTATACCATGAAACCCCCGTTCACTCTCTCTCGATCTCGATGAAAACCCTAAAGACTCAGAGACCGAAACCCACGATAAGAAGAAGAAGAAGCAACAAGTTAACAAATGTGTCACGTGAGAGGAATCTCGGCACGTGCTGCGGCGGCGGAGGAGGGAGGCTGTCGGAAAAGCTCCGGGCGCTGAAGAGGCTTGTTCCTCGGGCGACGGCGGACGTAGTAGTCGACGACGGAGGAGCGACGGAGGAGCTGTTCAGAGAGACGGCGGATTACATAATCAGGTTGAGAAAGCAAGTCTTGGCGTTGCAGAAGCTGGTCGAGATCTATGGATCTGATGATGACCATGCGAATGCGGTGTTATAATTTCTATGTATGTTATTATTATTATTATTATTAATTTTTTCTTATCTTTGTGTTATTTTCATGTAATGCATTTTGAACCGACTGTTCTTATACGTATATGAAAACGTTTCGTCGTTTCTCAAATCCATTGTGTCTGGAAATGTTTGATTAAATCAAAAATATAATTACTTATGATGTTTATACGAGTTTTCCAGCTCATTAATTGATCATTATATATATATGTGTGTATAATTGTACATGCAGCAGCATAAATACGTGAAACCAGGATGCACAGGAATGATGAAGCTATATATATATATATATATATATATATATATATATATATAAAGAAAGAGATAGCTAATGATGGACCGACATATCATAGTTTCGTCACTCATTAAATATACTCTGTGATATATTCTTTTTTTAATATCATATTTTAACGTTGTTTTATTAGAATATGTCAGTAACTGCTGAAGCTATATCTTATATCACTTTCAACATGAATTTTGGTTATAACCTCGATCCAAACCGGAGATATATATTCCATATCTTATATCCTATATTGATGTTTTTGCCAGTTGTACTATATAACTTTAGATGGTTATTAACTATATAGTATATACCCAATTTATTATAATACCATAAAAAAAATAATGCAAATCGTTAGTCCAATTTCATTGCTTTTTCCTTTCATTATTAAATGGAAATTTACACATTTTTTTTAAAAAATTGTGTGGGACGAAAAGTAATAAGAACAGAAAAAAAAACACAAAAGAATTACAAAGAAGTAAAATATAAAGCTGAGATGGGGACATAAAAAAGCAATATAAAAAATAAATATCTAAGTGGTATATATATGGAAAGGAGTGTATGTATGTATGTATGTATATGTATCGTGTCTTTTGTGGATGATGTCACATACATATATACGTTATGTATATTGTATAGTGATGTGTATGTATATATCTATACATGTGTCTATATGAATATTAGATGCATTCATATTCATATAATCATATGCGTGTAATTTATGGGCATTGGTGATTGTGACTTATTAGTCCCCCCATGCTAACCCTACCATGTGCCCTCTTTGCTATTTTATATTTTTCTTTTTTCTTTTAATTTATGTATCTTGTTTTAATTTTTGGAAGATCAACCGTTTTATGTATGGACCAATTTATTTATTTAAACATATTATAGACAGCCACTTGAATTTTTAATTTTTTTAGGATTTTTATATTATTTTTAATTTCAATTATATATTATATCTTTTTTTTTTACAGTAAAAGTTTTTCTAGTACCCGTCTTTTTATTATTTATATTTTTCACAAAAGTACTTGTTTGTTATAATACAAATTAATTTTTATTTTTATTTATATTTATCATTCAACCTTTTTCATTTTAATTTCGGTCACGAATCTCTAACATATTTATAGATTGATGTCTACATTTTTCTATTAAGTTCCATCAAAACATATGTGTATATATATATATAATATAATATAATATTGGAAAACTAAAATTTAACATCAGGTTAGCTATTTGTTTCTCCAATTTAAGCCACGCAGACTAGTGATAAAAAAAAAATGTACAAGTAAAATACTTAATTTGAAATTTGGAAAAAAAAAATTACCGGTCGAACCCAAATTGTATTTTCCCCTACAAATAGACCAACATAAAAAAAAATAATGAAATTAAAATTCGATTCCATTAGGTTGGACGCTCGAAGTGAATGGTTGAATGATTTATACATATCCGAAATGGGCTTGAAGTGGGCTTTAACGAAGACCCAGGCCCAAACTATATTAACCATTGTCATAAAGTCTTCCCGTATTTCCTTTATTTCATTTTCTTTTCACGGTCTTGTTATATTTTGGCTATTGACCAGATCAAATGCTTTGTCAAATGGCTCATTGGTTTATGCCCCTTTAATTGATCCTCGATTCCTTTCATCCCGACCCGGTTTAGGTAAACCGAATCGGGAGATCGACCAATAATACCGTACTCACGCCGTAATTAAGCTATCTTAATTTCGAAAGTCGGCCTTCAACCGTGATTTTTATATGCTCACGGATCTTGGGGTTGACTTTAAAAGTGTCTAGTAGTCGGGTGACCGTTATTAGTCGCCCAATCGAAATCGAATAAAAAAATATAACTATAACCGGATCGAATCTGACATACAAACCGAATGGTTATGATTTTTCTAAATCCGAAAAAATCGAAACTGAACTGAACTGAATCGATTAAAAAAAACTGAATTTAAATCAAACCAAATCGAAGTTTTTATAGAAACTGAAAGTTTATAGTTTTTTAAAACCGAAATAATTGAAACCAAATATAATCGAACCGAACCCGAATCGAATCAAAACCTGAAATGATCACACTGGTTATGAACAATTACCTTCAAGTCTCAAATGACCGGACCGGAACCAAGTACATGAACAATTTCACCATGTATGCAAGAATTTCTCCTGTTGGGCGACGCGAGGGCCGAGACCCTGAAAAAAAGGAGGAAGAAAACCACGAGAGAGACGGCAAAAACGGGACCTGAGAATGTAACCTGCAATACCACTTATATATGCATCATCTGTTTCTACATTCTACTTCTAAAAGTGACAAGCTTTATACAGGATGATCGACTATTCTATTCTACGCTTCCGTGGTTATCTTCCGAGCTACAACACTATTTCCTGGTTAGATGGGGCATCGTTCTCAGCATCCGGACTATGAATACCGGATCCCGTGCTGATATCCCGGGAAAAAAATAACTGACGCCGATGGAAAACAAGGGGGAACCGGTGGATGGATAAGACAGTCATAGAGGAAGACAATGTACTCCCTCGGGTAGTAGTATCTTAGGCATTGGTAGTCCAGTAACGTATCTCCGAGGAACTGATTTCGACATCCGGCTATGGAATCTGGCAAAATGGTTCATCACAGAGAATCTCTCTATGTCCTGGATTTCTACTATGATCTCTACGATTGACGCGGTCTTGTCCAGTCTGCATCAAGATCAAGAGTTGGGATATCGTTACCCCGATATGAAATGTATGCAAGCAAACCAGCATTGGCATAAAGGCAGGTACATACAAGAAACATGATCTTCAAAGACAACAAGAGATTCTGGGCTGTTCAAATGTTTCAAAGAGGCAACCGCTTTGTCCGTACCTTTGGAAGTCACTTTCGAGCTTCTGGGTTTTCTCGACGAACGCTTTGCCCGTTTGAGCATATTGTTGATCTTTATCACCGGCCTTTCCCATTTCGTCACAGATCCTGGACGAACGGCAAAGGTCAATATCTTTCACAAGGCCAAACGAGATAAAATCCCCTGCTAAGTTATAAAACTTGTGTTTACCTTATCTTCAAATATAAAGAAACAAAGGCCGGGTTAACAAAATATTAGAATTCGAATCCTAATCATAACGAGATGGAACTCACTTTTCACTCGTGTCTGAATGCGATTGAAGCATGTTTAGTCCATAGCACGCAAGACTGCATGCCTCGCCAAGGGCTACTCTTGCCACAATGTACACTATGCTCTCATAGCAAACAGCAGCATTTCCCGAGAGAGTAAAAGATGGTGCTGGAGGGAGCAATTGTCGCATAAGCCGTGTCGATAAGATCAGCCTCCTTTTTGAGGGAGGAATCGCCTCACTTGGGCCGACCTTATCATCCTCAACCTAGAGAGAGTAACCACACCACAATCAAATGTTCCGATTTTATCATCGATAAGTTTTTCTTTCTCTCCATCTCAGTTTTCTGGTTTGTTGTTTGAACAGGAGGAAGTAAAAAAGAATAAGCTCCTGCAAATGATAAATTTGGGAGGTAGGTACCTTCTCCAACAGCCTGTTTGTGGCAAGTGCCCACTTCTCTTCTGACAAACTGTAAGAAAGACTGTTCTAACATCAATATGGATCAAAGAATATGAGAGTATATGGTAAGTATTGACATTTATGAAAGTAAGGAAAAGAACCTGATGCTCCGACTCATGTCTGAACCTCGCAGGACAACATTATGCCACGGTGATTGGGAAAATGTAGTACTTTTGCGCTTCTTTTGTCTTAAAGCAACCATATTTTGATTCACAGCATCGCATTGCATAGCAGAATCAATCGGTCCAATGTCAGGATTCCAAGCATTAGAACTTATTTTTTCCACGTAATTTCCAACAGAAAACTGGTACGAATGACCAGTAAGCACGCTGCTTACCTTAGGTCGAGTCTCGCCAATGGGACCGTCATCATCAGTCTTCAAATACCCCATCTCGAATTCATTATGCTGTCGCTGTCCAACAGTTGCAGAATTTTGGTGGATGTCGAAGGACGATTTTGAGAAATAGAATGAAGAATTCCGGTCGGACAAAGCATTTGGTGGAGCATTATATACCTCAGAAGGTTTTTGCTGTACCATCGAGGATGACAAAGGAAATTTATTGGCTGCACCCACCAACTGATGTTGCCCGATAGGGGCATTCATACGAAATCCATATGTAGAAAGATCACTTGGTCGAGACGGTAGAGACGAATTGCAGGTTTCTTGTATATGAGTCTGACCTTTTATTATGTAGCCCGGCCCCGTACCAGACTTCTCAGATTCTCCTGGAATATCAGATCTGTTAGCCCGATCTGCGTGTTGAGGGAAATCATGCAGATTAGGAAATGGATGAACAGAAGACAGTGACGCCAGACAGCTCTGGTTCATCCAAGATGCATTTGAACATGCATTCTCTAGATTTGAAGTAAAAGAATGAACACTGGGAATCTGATCGTCACCATTACCATCTAGAGGACCCGTCTCTTCCGCTAGTGCACATTGCATAAGAGCGCTCAAGCTGAATCCACTGGAACTGATTTCACTATTATTTCTGCCAAAAGAAGAATCCTGAACATTATCATCCATATGGTACAAAATCTTCTCTTCTAGCGGGTCCAGTGCTACACTACCCTGAGAAGATATTCTAGGTGTTTGTTGCATCCCCAACAAATTTTCTTGATCCCGTAGTGATGAAGAGTCTCCATTTGAGCCCAGAACAGAACTTGACATGAAGGGAGTCTGTTCCTGAAACCCTTCTGGCATGACACTAGGATCCCGAGAGCAAGTATTCACAAAAGAAGTATCGAACCCTTGTGACCGGGTTATGGTTTTCTGATCTTTCTCGACATGACTCGTTGTCAAATAAGCAGATTGCAGGTATGGTCCTGACCATGAATTCATGCTGCTTTTTCCACTGGCAGCAGAAGAATCATATAGTGATACAACTACCTGCGGAGGATTTGGACTGATCGAGCAAGCATCTTGCAGAACATCCCCTTGATGTATACTTCCTTGCACCCGGTTCATGCCCATTAGGGATTCATCGTTCAAGGATCTTAGATCACTGAAACCCGAGCCACTGATTTGCTGCAGCTGAAAGTCTTGCGCCTGTTTGAGCATTACGTTTTGAAAAAGTTTCACATTTGTTCTAGCCAAATTGCCGCACCAGACCAAAAGGTAGTTCCCCTCTCTTCCCTCTTCAAGATTCAGCACTAAGCCCTCCCACGAAGTCTGCAAGTTGTCCATGGCATAGTAATTTCAGACATGACACTTCAAGCAGTCAAGAGAATCTCAGCTAACAAAATAGCACCTTCCATACATATATAAGAGTCCTTCAAGTCAAATGCTTCACGCCGTTATCAGACATCGACGTCTAAGACAAGACAAAACAAGATATGGATAACAAGACTAGTTCATTGATACGAGAGAACATACGCTTAAGAATCAAGAAAAGATTAGTCCTTTGATTCTAGAATACACTCAGATTAGGAATTATTGTCCAACTGAACACTGGGATTAGGAACACCAATCAAGAGCAAGCGTACCCCAATGTGAAATTCGGATTCCATTTCAGGAAAATAAAACACGAAACTTTGCATGCCAAATTACAAAAACGAGAAACATACAGAGAATTTACCCGACACATACGAACAAAAAGCAGGAAAAACGACAAATTAACAAAAAAATATTCCATTAACACAAATTTAAGCTCCAATTGTTGGATTAGACAACACTAATCGCTAAATATGGAACTCGTACTGAGATCATATATGACAGTCAATGGGTAAGAGGGGAAAAAAAAGACAAAATAAGCGCAAAAACAACAAAAATCATTTGACTTCCATAACACCACTCGGATACTCTCGAAAGAATATTCGGCGAAACAGAGAACATGCCCAAAAAAAACACGAACTCTCATTTTTTTTATACCTGGAAGATGGAGAAGCAGATGCGAAGCCGTGAGGGAGTTGGGTTCTTCGCCTGAGGCAGAGAGAGAAAGGCCAAACACGGGGCTTAATTGCGTTTTTTAACTTGGAAAAACAGTGATTGTTTTCTAAAAAAAATTGGGTAAATCATAGTTTCTTTTCCCTCTCGTTTTCCCGGGGAGAAAGTGCGAGAAAATCTCGCCTCTTCGGCGAGAAAATCTCTCTTTTATGAATTCACGAATGAAGCGATCCATAATGCATGATTCCAAATTTCAAAATTTGTTTTTTCTAAAAAATTCACGAAAACAAAAGAGGAGGTCATGGACGAGCCTAACCGGGGGTTGGTTCGGAATAAAGGGAAAAATCAGCTGTTTCGTGGAACACACTGTATCATATGATCATTAAAAAACTGACGGTCAGATGTGGATTATAAATATTGACGGTGAAGATTACAGGAGACCCTACAGAGATGACAATCGGAGAGTACTAAGCACGCGCTCTTGTTTGCGCGTGGTGAAACCCTATCTATATCTTCTTTTCTTTTCTTTTAAAAGGCAATATAGCAAAAATACCCTTACTTTGCTACAAAGACTTCATGGTATACCCTTCAAAACCCTAAAATTTTGGAAAAAAAAATAAAAGGAACAAAAGACATAATTAACCCTCTCACAAAAGTAACGTGATTCTCCTCTCTTCATTTTGAATTCATCTCTCTCGTTTTCATTCTTTGACAACTCTTCATTTCTTTCTTAACTTTCTCTCTCCACTCTTATCTTTCTCTCAACTCTTCCATTTTCTCTTTTCTCATTTCATTTTTATACATAGAAAAACAAACGAAAAATGGTTATTTCGTTGAGCATATCTTCACCGACGACCTCATATCTTCTTCTTGAGTCGGTCTTAGACATAACAAATGACAAGAACTGAAGGGTAAGTTCATTAATACAAGAGATTGGTTCGATGCATGAACTTTGTGTTTTGGGTTTGAGTTTTATGATTGTTAGAGTGAATCGTGTGGTCTTTTTTTTATGAAAATGAGATAGATGCATAGCAAATCTGTCGAAGAATATACAAGAGGCGCATATTTAATTTCAAATAAATGTTCGGAGCGATAATGGAACGGATTGACAACGAAAATAAAGGTACGTCATATTGGTTACACCGTTTAAAATTTAATTTTGGTCACACTGGTCACACTAGTCAACTTGGTCACACCGTTCAAAATTTAGTTTTGGTCACACTGGTCACACTGGTCACACTAGTCACATTGGTCACATTGGTCACACTAGTCACATTGGTCACACTGGTCACACTGGTCACACCGTTCAAATTTTAGTTTTGGTCACACTAGTCATATTGGTCACACTGGTCACACTAGTCACTTGGTCACACTAGTCACACTGGTCACACCGAAAATTTTTAAAATTCACGCGAAAATATTTATTTTTTTGTGATGGAGGGAGTTTTAAAAATTTTAAAATATTTAAATTTTTTTCTAGAAAATCGAAAACTGCTTTTCTCTCTCTCTTCTCATTAATGTTTCTGTCATTGGGACTCACGCCAATGGGTATTTTTGGAATAACATAATTATAAAGATATGTTTTGAAGTAGTTTTTTTATTTATTTTTGCAGGGGTACGCAGTGAAGTCTTTGTAGCATAATAGGGGTATTTTTGATAAAACCCCTTTTTAAAATCTACGTTTTAACATGTTTGACTCTTTTAGATTTGACTATTTTTTGTAACTCTAAAATTTTATAAATTTATTTATAATCAAAATAGTCAAATATTCTACATATAAAAATATATTTTAGACAAAATACTAAACGGGTGAACATATTTATTATCAACGGAAAACAATACTAAAACAACTAGTTTGCAACACTAATGGGAAAAAAATTCGAGTTTGGTCATTTCCGTAACCATACATTGATTAAGATTAGTCCAATCCAAATTCATATGGACCAACCATCCATGTATATAGCTCTCACATCCCCAGCTAATAGAACATTGTCGAGGCACTCGAGCAAAGCAGCACAATTATTACAACAATGGCTGCATTTACATCAATTAAGGGTGTACGGTCGCCGGAGATTATGTCACCGGAGATCTTCCCGGGCGAAATCGGCGATAAGCTCGGCGACGTGCTCGGGGTTCTCGACGTGAGGAAGATGACCGCTACCTGGTACTTCCCGAAAAACCGAGTTCCTTAACTCACACAGCAATTTCTGCAAAGAAAAAGAAAAAAAGTAGGAGCCTTTCCTTCAGCACAAGCCTATGAAATTGGTTTATTGCCAAATCAAACGGCCGGTTAACACCAAATGCAACATGATTCTCCATTCGGTCCGGTTAAGCTTTGGTTTTGGAAACCTAAACTATAACCTTAACTTGCAACAAATATCAAACACTTTGTATACATATAAAGGCGAAAAAAAGGAAGAAAGACTTACGACCGAGAGCTGGTTATTGACGATCTGATCGTTCTCGCTGCATATAACGAGCGTTTTCTGCTTTACCTGCAAGTTATTCAGGGAAAAAACATAATCAAATGCGTTACCGATTTCTCGCTAAGATATATATACTTATAATACATTTTTAATCGATGTTTCGGTACGAGTTTTATCTGTGAAGCGACGTTGTAGCCTCCGCTGATCATGTAATCGACCGTCGCCATTTCCCACCACGACATTCGACAGTGTAACCGGCCAACCTACGCAAATAACATATGAATACATCGACCATCTCGGTTTGAACAAGATAATGTGACAGAAAAAACAAAATCCACGTTTGAACAAGATAATGTGACAAGATATGTAAAATGTGAAATTTTTCTCACGTTGGTCCAATCGATCTGTTTGGGCAAGGGTACCGAACGAAACGCTAATACGTTCGCCAGTAGACGGAGAGGGAACGACTTCAAGAGTCTGACCTGAAGATACATACATAAACATTCAGATTTAGAACCTTATAATATCTATGTTTTGATATGAATTTACCAACATAATGAAATTAAATCGATCGTATTCGGACCGACCCCGGCATATGCGACGAGTTTCGGCAGTTTTGCTAGTTGTCCGGTGCCTTCTGAATAAGCGTTGGCATTTATGAGAACCAACTTCTGGACCTGGCATATTGTGAGATAATAGTTACGAGTTTAAATAGAACTTAGCTTCCTTTCGTTTGGGGCGGATTAGGGCCGATAGAACGTACGGCTTCGGGATAGGTAGCGGCGAAATCAACGGCAATGGTGGCACCTAAGCTCGGTCCGACCAAAATCATCGGCCGCTTGATATACGTCTTCCACAGCTAGGATTATTCGAACTAGAGATTAACGTTTAAACACCAACCATCGATCAAACGAACCGCGAGATTAACGGCCGAGATTACCTGGAACAAATGATGCCGCTTAGACGCCGCATCGCACGGCGGAAGGACCTCTGCAATGGATTAGAACACAAGTAAACGAAATCAACAAAAACTAAACCAAAATAGCAAACCAACACAAATTGTATCTAAACCGGAAACCAATTATTATAACGAATCCAGCAAATTGACGTACGGAGTTCGGAGAAGCCCCATCCAAGAACATCTAAAGCCCAAGTCTCGAGGCAAGCTTGTTCGAGCAAAGGGTAGGTGCATCGCCACTCTAAGCACGAGCTAGAGAAGGGAAAAAAACACCAAGAATTCAGACATCAAACTCCAGTATCTGTCCGGTTTATTTTTTTTATTTTTTGCCATGAAAAGAAAAGGACAGGTCAAGAACCTGTCGAAACAATGGAGAAGAACGACGGGGTTGGCGCAGTGCTGTTGTCCCAGTGGCTTGATGCAGCTACTCATCACGCATCCGTTGAACTTCTCCATCTGCGATTATTCGCCAAAATCAAACCGATAATTTCGAGGAATCTGAAACCAAAATGGTATCAAACGCTGCGTTTTCGCAACATGCAAGAAGAGAGAGAGAGAGAGTCAGGGTCAAGAACCTGAAGAGGAACGGGAATCCGTACGATCCGCTGGGCAAGAGCTCTGGCAAACGGGTCTCTTATCTTCTCCACCTCCTTCGGCAGAAACGCCGGAAACCCACCGCCGCACCCTCGCCGGAGACGGGGGCGGCGGAGACACCATCTTCAGACCACCCACCATTTTCTGTAATTCAATTGCAACTCAGAGGCCAACAACGACAAAATTTATAGAACTCTGCAGTAGGGGAAAAAACGTACGATTAGCTTTTTAGCTTTTTCCCAATTAGCGTATGTAAATAATTGGAGAGGTGAATTTCGAGATTTTTTTTTAAATATATATATTTTTTAAATATGAATTTAAATATGGATCTAAAAAGGTGGGTGATTCGTACTTGTCGCCGCCTGCATGGCAAACTGGACCAAAGAACGTTTCCCCGATCCTTTTGTTTTTTTTATTTACTTTCAGTGTTTTGTCTTTTTGCCATTCGAGTGACCATACGATGCCATCATATTTATTGCGTCCGTACAGAAAATGTTTCGCTTCCTTATTTTCTGTTTCCCCGAGGAATGTGAAAAATACACAAAATGTGGCCTCGTATAAAACGGACCAAATTTTCTAATCAAATTCATTTTTAAGCACAATGATGCCACGGGCCACGAATTTGGTCAACTATCTTGTAAGCTAAATTCGATTTCATTCGCAGATCAAGCTTTTGCTCTATTTTTCTTCGCAGTTCATTTATTATGATTTCGTTTTGACAAATCGATAACGATCTTTACCCAAAAAAATAATTATAACGATAAAAATATTTTTCGTATGGTATTATTCTGAATTTATAGGTCGGTCTGTTTGACTTGTAAATTCAATGAATTGAATTAAAATTGGGATAAGCCAAAAAAAATATCAACAATTTTATTTACACAAAAACCTTATATTTTAATTTTATTATAAAAATATATTGATTATTAATTTTGATTTTAAAAAACCCATCAACTATATAACTTATATTGAAAATTATTACTTTTGATTAAAAAAAACTTAACTATCTACATTACTAAAAGAATCATTCTACCACTCTAAATTTTTTATAAAAATATATAAATTAAAAAAAAAACTTTTAATGTCTAATTTACTAAAAAAACCTTCTATGTTACATAGAAAAAATTCGCCAATAATATTATACATACAAAAAGTTTTATTTAAAATTTATTATAAAAATCTATCAACATTTCATTTTAAATAAAATAAACCATATTTTTATTTTATTTTTAGAAAACATATATCACTTATTATATAATTGATTTGTATGTAAATTATACACTATATAATATTCAAAGCATTAAATATTTTATAAAAAAATCAAATTGATAGTGTACAACGTCTCAAAACTAAACAACCTATTATTTCAAGAAAAAATCCTAAAAAAATACTGAAATTTTACAATTTTGACAAAAAAACACTGAACTTTATTTTTTGTCAAATAAACATTAAAATTTTTAAACGTATCTTAAAAACACTAAACTTTTTAAATGATCCAAAAAATACATGAACTTTTCTGCGATTATAAAAAAAACACTGAACTTTTTTGCATATCATTGTGCCACATCATTCATTTTGTTTATTTTGAAAATCGTAGAAGAGTTAAGTATTTATTTTGTCAAATTTAAAAAGTTTAATGTTTATTGATAAAATAAAAAGTTCAGTGTGTTTTTTTTGTCAAAATTTGAAAATTTAGTGTTTTTTTTTATTTTCCCTTATTTCAATACTCATATACTCATATATAAAAAAAATACAAGGAAAAATTAGAACGAGTATCTAAATATGTTACGTCATTAGAAATTTATATCTTTTCATAAATTTTTGACAAAAATACCTCTACTTTATTGTATAATTTCAATATTACCATTAAATATTTCAAAAATTTTGCAGCATAAAAACATATTTTTTTGGGAAACTGTGTTATCTGGTAAAACTATTTTTTTATCCGGGATAATTATTTTTCATCCGGAAGAATCTGTTTTCATTCGGAATAACTGTTTATGAACACAAAAAAATAATTTTTTTTTTATCAAGATGAACTATTTCTCGTCTGACAGAATTATTTTTTCCTCAAGAAAAGACTTTTTTATCCGAAAAATCTATTTTCGTTCGGGAAAATAATATTTTTGAGAGAATTGTTTCATCTGGGAAAGAATATTTTTTATCCGAAAAAAGTATATTTTCGTCCGGGAGAATTTTTTTCATATGGGAAAGATTTTTCTTTCTGAAAAAAAAAACAGTTTGTCCGGACAAAAACAGTTTTCTCCGGATGAAAAAACAATTCTTCCGGATGAGAAACAATTCTCCCGGATAAAAAAATTGCTTTTCGTATAAAAAACAATTCTTTCGTATGAAAACAAATTTTTCCGGATGACAAATAATTTTTTTGTCAATGGTTTTTGTATATTAGATTTATACGAAAATGAGTTTACAAAATTCAGCCGCATAATCGGCAATTCGTGTAACATGGAAGGTTAAAACAACAATATAAAGTTCCAAGCTGAGACTTTTCATTCAAATGCAGTAGAATACTAGCCTGTAGGGGAGAGGGCAAACCAACGCCGGAGTATTAACGAAGCTGTCTCAAAGTGATTGGATCTGATGGCAGCCATTCTTGCTCTCAAGGAATGATCAGTATCTCGTCTCAAGGCTGCCATGTCCTTATAACACGATGAGTGGATTCTCGAGTTTCTCTCTAGCCATATAGTGTATATGTAGATCTGCCAGGCCATGCAAGCGGCCCAATTATACGAGTTGTTGTCCCATCGTGTTCCTAACCATGAAAGAACAGAATCCCACAATAGCACATGTGGAAAGTGTAGAAATAAAATGCGGAAATAAAATAAGACAAATAGAAAAAAACGAAATTACTTTTATTGCTACATCTCTTCTTCTTCTTGTTCCATTACAATGAAAATAACTCACATATTTATAGGAAAATTAACAAATGAAATAAAAGGAAATATAGATATAACGGAAATAAATATGATTCACAATATTTAACATAATATTGTGTTCCTCCAAAATCTAGATTTTCCTCCAATCACATATTCATTTTTCTACTTCAACAGAAAGGGTCTCCCATTTATGCAACGAAAAAATTATCAGATCTTTTAATGCTGGACAAAGAAAGAACAAGTGATTTCTACTCTCCTCTTCAGTTCCACAGAAGACACAATCGGTGTTTAGCTTGCACCATACTATGTTCTCCCATGTTACCTTTTCGATATTCTTGTAGAGGTAGTTCCAGACAGATTTTGCAATAAAATCTTGGCTAGATGATTTTCTGACTCACCATGTGACTGAATCCTCTCGGTCCTGCAACGTTTTTCCTGTCAAGTAAGAGGATAAATTGATAGCTTCCTAAGATCTAGCTGCTGGAAAAACCCACGTGCCATTTCTATATATGTCTGCCACCTTCGCAGCCTTCGGGATGCCAAGTTGTTGAGGTCCATGGGGTCCGAAGTAGTCAATCAACCTCCCGAACGGAGACCAGACGTCATGTCAGAACCAGGTGCACCGACCATTCCCCAAAGAGGTAGAAATAAAGTCTTGTGCTAAATTTCTGCCTTTTAGAATCTTCCTAAAGCTTTATGAATGTCTAGCGCTAGGTCTGATCATCCGGAAGCTTTCCCTGCCTAAATATTTTCTCTTGATCCATGCACCCCATAATGACCCGCTTCTGAAGAACATGGCCCAGATGAGTTTTAGGATTCCAATGTCATTCCAGTCCTTGATGTTCCTGAGTCCCAAGCCACCTGCTGATTTTCTAATAGAGACTTTGTCCCATGATACTCTTGCTCCGCTACGTGAATCTACTTCCCCTTTCCACAGAAATGTCGAACTCATGGAGTCAATTTTTTTAATACAACTTTTGGGTAGGACAAAAACCGCTAGCCAAGATGTCGTAATGCCTGAGATTACTGACTCAAGTAATCGTAGTCTTCCCGCGAAAGATAGGCTTTTAACTATCCAAGAGTTAAATCTATTTCTGATTTTCTCCAAAAGCGGAAGACAATCTGATAGACTTAATTTCTTGGAAGTTAGTGGCACTCCAAGATACCTTAAAGGTAACTGGCCCAATTGAATTCCACTTTGTCTTTGTATTTCCTCCATTTCCAGACCAGTTAAACCCCAAATTATTAGGCTGCATTTATTCTTGTTTATCGAAAGACCCAAGATCAGGAAGAACTTATGAAGAATAGAAAGTATACCTTGCACAGATCTGACCTCCCTATCCGAGAAAATTAGCAAATCATCAGCAAAACTGAGATGAGTGATCTTATCTTCTCTCCGGATGATACCCAAATAACCCGTTTTCTGCACCTTCCTTAAGCATTAACGATAATATATTCATGCAGATAACAAACATGTAAGGAGACAATGGACATCCCTGTCTTAATCCTCTTTTCCCTTGAAAGTAGCCAAACATACCACCACTGATGCAAACTGAGTAGGTCGGCGTAGTGATATGCAGGTTTCGATCAGTGAGACTAGATGTGGATCTAAATTCATGGCTTTCATAGTAGTGAGAATGAAATCTCAATGTATGGAATCGAATGCCTATTGAAAACGGGAGGGTTGGCCTTACACAGTTTGCAAGGAGCTTTGCTATCACTTTGTATATGAAGTTACAACAAGCGATTGGTCGAAATTCGGCGAACGTCTCAGCCCCTTGTGTTTTTGGGATGAGGATGAGGGCAGTAACATTCACACAACTAGGCATTTCTCCTCGTTTGAAGGAAGTGCAGAATACTTGTTGTGAACTCGCCCCCAACAATGCTCCAAGCTCTGCGATAATATTCAGCCATGAAACCGTCCGGACCAGGGGTCTTGTTTAGTGCCATAGAGAATGTGACTCTCCTGATGTCTTCTTCAGTAAAATGCATGTTCTGGTTCAGAGACATTGTTGTCTGGCCATTTTCTAGCAGCCTTTGTATATCCATGATCGATGCGATTGATCCTGAATGATGTTCCCTCCCTAAGATGTTTGTGTAGAAGTCTACTGCTGCCGCCGCTATCTCTTCTAGCTTTTCCAATCTTGAGCCATCATGGTTCCTTATATAGGAGATGAAATTCCTCGATCTCCTAGCAAGGATGCTTCAGTAGAAAAATTTATTATTTTTGTCTCCTATTTGAAGCCAATGAATCCTTGATTTTTGCTCAAGAAAGCTTCCTCAATCTTGGATAAGTATTCCCATCTCTGTAAACTCTCTTGTTCTTGCTGGAAATTAGAAGTCGATGGATGTCTTAGTACCTTTTCCTGCACAGAAAGAAGAATATTGTGAGTCTTATTAACTCTTTTAGTAATTTCACTGAAGTTTTGTTTAGACAGGCTTTTAATAGGGATTTTTTGTTGCCTTTGCTTCCTATAGAAAGCAGAAAGAGTAGTTGCATTTCTCCCAGCCATACTCCAAGAGGTTTGGATAGTTGGGAGGAAATCAGGATGGTCAAGGACAAAGTTGAATATTTTGAAAGGCTTAGGACTAGACAGGAGTTGTCTTGACAGACGGACTAGACTTGGACAGTGATCGGAGGGATGAGGGGGTCTGAAAATGGCTGAGCTATCAGGGAATAGTAGTCTCCAAGAGTTATTGACCAAAACTCTATCAAGTTTCTTTGCTATAGGATTCAACACTTGCTTGTTTGTCCAAGTAAAGAGTGATCCTCGATATGGTAGATCATGGAGGCCAAGAGTGTACAAGAAATTGGCGAAGCGTGTCATAGTCGGGGTTTGATGGCTAAAAGACGGGGCAGAGTGCTGTGCTAGTAAGAGGATTTCATTGAAATCCCCTCCGAGGATCTCATTGAAATCCCCTCCGAGGATCCATGCTCCACCTCTTGGCTGTACAAACTGCTGGTGAGTTTGAAGAAGCTGGCTCCATAGGGCATCTCTATCAGCTACTTGATTGGGAGCATAAATAGCTGATAGGATGAAAGGCAACCACCCTTGGACTGTCATCTCAACAGTTATCTCGTTTGCAGTGCGTTTGAGCAATTGAGCCGAGGCCTCTCCTCTGAATAGAACCCATATTCTACCTAGATTGCTTTCTTGATAGTTATCCAATCTTGACCAATCTTCTCCCAACTTTGCGAGTATTCTGTTTGCATTTGGTTCCTGAATGTGTGTCTCAAACAATGCTCCAAAAATCGGTTTTTGTGTTGCAAAGAAATGTCATAACTTGACTTGTTTACAACCATCATTTAGGCCTCTAACATTCCAAAAGAAACCTTCTATTACACAAATTTAGGGGTTAGATATTCTCCCCCGCCTCCCCTGATTGTGGAGGCGATGGTAAGGGGTCCTTTCCTGCAGGGGAACTCACGGTTGGGTTGGTCGGGTTTTGTGGTGCGTGTGATATGAGTGGGTTATAGGGATGGTTAGGATGTTTGTCAAGTGTGTCTGGTTGACATATAGGTGATTGGGGTGATGGTTGCGGGATGTTCTGACTAGGTGGAGTCGGTAGCTGCTGTGTAATCTGGTTGGGTGGGAAAATTTGTGGATTTATGATAAGTGGTTGGTTGAGTGAGATGTCTGAGTTTCTAGGGATTGCTTCAGCGTATTTAGAAGGGATTGCCAAAGAGTGTTGAGGATGCATAATAACTAGAGGCTGAGTTGTTCTCTTGGAACAGAACTTCTCGACATGTCCGAATTCCTTGCACATATTGCACTTAGGCGGGATCCATCTGTACAGAGCATCTATGGTGTCGACAGTTCCATCTTCCAATTCGATTTCAACTTCAGTTGGCAGGTCCTTAGTGAGATCGACTTCAACCTTGACATCCACCGAATTTATGCTCTCGATAGGTTTATAAGCTCTCGGCTCTCCCACTGTTCCCGCAATATAGCTAATTCATTCTCTTAGCAAGTTGAGGGGGACATTTGTGAAATGTACCCATTCGGGGCTGATTTCAGAGATGGAGGTTCTCGGACTGTTTCTGGGGTCCATTTTCGGACAAAGCAAGCATGGTTACCAACATACCATAGTTCTTGTTCCACTACAGCTTCTCTAATCTTCGCCGATGGAATTTTTACCAACAGAGAGCTCCATGATAAGTGATGGATATCTACTCTTTGATCCTTGCCCTACAAGTAGTTGAATACATCATGTATCTTAGACATACGGGGGATAGTACCATAGAAGGAGCAGATTACATACTCTTGGTACTGTAGAGCACCGGATTTGATAACTGAGTTAGGGATCTTTACTCGTATTCTTCCTGTTTCCGATAATTCTGCATCAGCAATACGCTTCAATTCATAGGTTGGACCCCTAACTTTGCTGGCCTATGAGGGTTTTGAGTGTGGAGGTTTCGACCCTTGAGTTGTTGGGACCGTAGTAGAGAATTTTTCCTTTGCAGAAGTATCAGAGACCGAACCCATATTCCCTCAGGCCGAGGTACAAGGGCCTGTAGGAGAGGAGTGAGAAGTGGCCTGAACTAGGGATTTAGTAGTGGCGGAGAGAGAAGAATGGGTGATGACAGTTCCACGACCCTCCACCTCGATGACAGATCCATCTCCGAATCGCACCTTTAGGTGGGTAGTGGAGATTTTGGCCTGTGGAGTGGATGTGACCTAGGGTTAGGTAGAGGGGGTATTCTTTGGCATATTGGCCAGAGTCTGGTAGAATCAGAGGAGGGGATGAGGAGGGCGAGGGTCCTTCGATCGTTTGAGACATCGAAGAAGTGGGCTACGAGGAATTACGGTTCCCTCTCTTATCGCGAAGTCGGGAAGATGACCGGCGACTAGGAGGAGGTGAAACTGAAACTTTACTCGAGGAATGAATAGGGGGGCGAGGATTTGGATCTAGGCGTGTGATGGGAGGCGGAGGGGGAACCACCATGTTAGTGGAAGATGAAGTGGAACCAGGTTGGAGGGGGCCCGGATCTGGTGGATCTAGAGGGACATTTGGGTTGGAGATTTGGCCCGGATCTACTGTAAGAATTGGTTTTTCTCCCGACCCATTAGGCTGGCGGAGATGGTGGAAATTGAAGCTGTCGGCTGGGGGATTGCGCTACCTGGTGCCCTCTTCTATGTTATAATTTATCTTCGACAATTTCGATGACAAATAATATTTCCGGATTAAAATTTTTTTTTTTCTAAATAACACCATTTTCTAAAAAAAATATGCGCTATCTATAATGGTAATATTGAAATTATACAATAAAATAATAATATTTTTATCAAAAATTTATAAAAAGGTATAGTTTAAAAAAGGTATAAATTTTGAATATGTTTGTCATATTTCCAAAATGCCCCAAAATACAAACTACAAATGGAAAGGGAGATAAGGAGAAAAGAAAACAGGCCCGGGGGCATTGCGGGGATTAAACAACGCGTTCTGATCGTGCGGAAAATAAGGAAACGTCGTCGTGTTCTTTGCTTTGTGGGCCTCTCTTTAGGCCCATTTTACATCTTATTGGGCCTACAAACGTCTTGCGATTATACATAGATAGAATAGCAATGTATACCAACGTCACGTCACCATCTTTTCAGAATATGGCCAATTATTATTTTATGATATTAGATTATAAATGTAGTTAAAAACACAGAAATTATGAACAATACATTACTTTTACTAATGTCTTTTAACTTTTAATATTTCCATATGATTATGCTTGGTATTTTAACTTTTTCATACGATTGAAAATTAAAGGATATAGAATTGGTTTGAAACAAATATTTGTTTTATTTTGCAACCCCAAAAATAGAAAAAATATCAACAATTTATTGTATATCTTACAACATACCATATTTTTTTTTTAAAAAAATTCTCACACTTGATTTTTTTTAATCTTTTTTCCTCCCTTTCTATAATCCATATCCATCTTGCCCGGCAATATTTCTTTTCTAATCCAAATGTCTTGTCTTCCACCTTTCTCAATCTTTGATTCACGTCTTATGTTCGAGAACCGTTGTTTTAAAGTGGATTTAGTTGGGTGGAATATCCGACAAATCAATCTAAATAAAAAAAATAGTTTTATGTAATTTTTTTATTTTTATTCTTATTTTTTAAAGAAATACGAAAAAAAAAATTCAAAAAAAAATCGTAGGGTAGTTGGAAGGTCTTAATCCGATAATAGTTTTATGTAATCTTGCCATTTTTTGTCTTTTTTTTTCTTTTCAATTTTTCGTAATATAATTATTCTATTTCTCATAAAATAATTTTAGGAGTGCTTTTTTTTTTTCCAACAATTTTTGTTTTCTTTAACACTATCATTCATGAATCATAGATGCGTCATGCGTGTATATGTATTTTTGTGCGTATTCGAGAATTTGTGAATTTTCATGGTTTCTATATATTTTTGGAAATTGGTGTATGGTTGTATTGACTATTTAATTTTAATCTAATTTTAGGTTGTAGTTTGTGTGGATACGTGTACCCGACCTTTACTCATAAATATCTGAGTCTTGCAAGGATATATTTATACACGACCTTTATAACATCGTTTGAAAAAATTACTAAATTAATGACTTTAGAGTTCACATATAACATAGTGTATTTATCAATAAAATTCGAGTAATTTCATGTGTTTATTTGAAAATGTTCTTATATTTATATTTATATAATATTTCGCATTTGCAAATTTGAACTTAGTTTTTTTATACAATATAGAAATTAAGGTTTTTTTTTTGTATGAGCAAAGTGCCAAAATTAAATGTTGGGAGAGGAGTGGACCCTATGACCGTGGATACCCAACAAGGATGGACCAATATAAGGGGTCATTGCATGCTATGATGGGACATATTCATAATTCATTCCCGGGCATTAATTTTTTTTTTTGGTAAATGGGCATTAAAAACTTGTAAACTATGTTTGATGCAAGGCAAGCAAGTGATTTTTTTTTCCACCAATTACGGAGATGGTCCAAATCATTCAAAAAATATATAAACATTTTATTTTTTATTTATCTTATGAATAATGATAAAAACATCGCATCAGTTTCAATTTATTGTCAAATGACATTGGAATGGGAGATTATAAAAATAGGGATGGACGGACGCGGATACTTAAAACCTGCGAATTTTCGGGTATCTAGACTTACGGGTATTCGAAATACGGGTACTCTCTATATAACGAAGACGAAAACGGGTTTGATGAAGCCAAAAATCTGGATTGTGGGTTCGAGTCCGGGTTGTGTTTGAACGGCGACGGGTACCTTCGGGTATCCGGATACGAATAAAATGACGATTATATCCTTGATATTTTGATATATTTATAATAATTATTAAAAATATTTTATATGAAATTACTAAAATACCCTTAGAGTCAACAAAAGTCAATATTTTCTAAAGAATTGGACGAGTTCGGATATCCTCGGGTAATCAAATTCAGTGACGGGTATCCGAACCACGGGTACCCGGATTTGACGAAAACCAAAACGAGATAGTGTTTTCTGAAAAACCCGCGAAGACGAAGCCCGGGTACCCCAAAAACTCAGGGTACCCGACCCGTGCCCAGTCCTACCTACAAAGACTTCATGGCATACCTCTCACTTGGCCCCAAAAAAAAATCTTCACACGATATCTTTATAAATATGTTCTCCCCATTATACTCCTATGCACCTTTCTTTAATTAAATGATTTGTATTTCTCTCTCCTCACGTTTCTCTCTCCTCGTGGTTCTCTCTCCTCGTATAATGGTCACATTGGTCACACCGTTCAAAAAATATCCACACTGGTCACTTTCAACCCCGAATTCTTTTTCGAACCCTTTCTTTGGTCGTACAATAAGCTCTAAAAGTGTTGAATTCTCGAAATTCGCTCAATGTGACCAGTATGACCATCGAGATATGTATGCGTGTGAAAAAACTAGTCCAATTCATCTGTTGAAGGCCAAAATAAGGTCTATACACTGTAAAACGGTATAATTTAACTTTATAAGAACGTTTTAGAGGCGAATAAAACAACACATTTTTAAATACAAAGTTACATTGGTCCAAAGTGTTTCTAAAATACTACTATCATTTATGAGATTCGTTTTATGATCATAACTTTCGATCGGATAATGCTCATAAACTTTCGACCGCGATTTCTTTTCCGAACCTTTTCTTTTTTCATACATTACGCTCTAAAAGTGTTGAATTCTCGAAATTTTTTCAGTGTGACCATCGGGATATGCATACATGTGAAAACACTGTCCAATTCATCTGTTGAAGGCTAAAATAAGGTCTATACACTGTAAAACGGTATAATTTAACTTTATAAGAACGTTTTAGAGGCGGATAAAACAATAAGTTTACGAACACAAAGTTACATTGGTCCAAAGTGTATCTAAAACACTAATATCACTTATGAGATTCGTTTTATGATCATAGCTTTCGATCGGATAACGTTCATAAGCTTTCGACCGCGATTTCTTTTCCGAACCTTTTCTTTGGTCATACATTACGCTCTGAAAGTGTTGAATTCTCGAAATTCGTTCAGTGTGACCATCGGGATATGCATACGTATGAAAACACTTGTCTAATTCATCTGTTGAAGGCTAAAATAAGATTTATACACTGTAAAACGGTATAATTTAACTTTATAAGAACGTTTTAGAGACGGATAAAACAACAAATTTACGAACACAAAGTTACATTGGTCCAAAGTGTTTCTAAAACATTATTATCACTTATGAAATTCGTTTTATGATCATAGCTTTCGATCGGATAACGTTCATAAACTTTCGACCGCGATTTCTTTTCCGAACCTTTTCTTTGGTCATACATTACGCTCTGAAAGTGTTGAATTCTCGAAATTTGTTCAGTGTGATCATCGGGATATGCATACGTATGAAAACACTGGTCCAATTCATTTGTTGAAGGCTAAAATAAGGTTTATACACTGTAAAACGATATAATTTAACTTTATAAGAACGTTTTAGAGGCAGATAAAACAACAAATTTACGAACACAAAGTTACATTGGTCCAAAGTGTTTTTAAAACATTATTATCATTTATGAGATTTGTTTTATGATCATAGCTTTCGATCGGATAGTGCTCATCAACTTTCGACCGTGATTTTTTTTCCGAACCTTTTCTTTGATCGTACATTACGTTCTGAAAATGTTGAATTCACAAAATTCGCTCAGTGTGACCAATGTGACCAGTGTGACTAGTGTGACCAGTATAACCATCGGGACACTAGTCACACTGGTCACACTGAGTAGATTCCCGCCATTACCATTTTGCGGTAGGCCTTCAACATAGTGATAATTAAATATGGTGTCAGCATCAAATCGATATAGCTTGGCAACTGAATATATCTTCGGGATACACCATACTAGTCGACCAATAATTACGTCAACGTTCGGCCTCATTTTCAGATTACAGTCGAACATCTGGATTAGCTTCTTCGAAGGGATGACTTTCATGGCTACCCAATGGAGGAATACTCAAGGGAGTAATAAACCCTTCATAACTTCCCATATCCCTCCCTTCACCACTGATGGGTGCTTTTCCTACAAAGTATTCTTCAAGACCAAACAATTCTTATTGATTTCCATGGACCCACCATTTGAGAAATTCACTGAAACTCGTATCGCCAAGCATGTATTTCTTTGTTGTTTGAATGCTTTCCTTGGTTAGGCGGTTCCGAATATCGAGTATAGCTTCATCCAAGTGTTGTAAAATAATGTAATATATTAGTGTGACTAGTGTGACCAGATAATATAACAGTGTGAATAGTATGACAAGATAATATAACAGTGTGACTAGTGTGACCAATGTGAATTTTTAACTGTGTGACCAGTTTGTCTAGTATGACCAGTGTGACCAATGTGAATTTTTAACTGTATGACCAATGTGACTAGTGTGACCAACTAATACAATAGTGTGACTAGTGTGATCAGATAATATAATAGTGTGACCAATGTGAATTTTTAACTGTGTGATCAATATGACTAGTGTGACCAGTGTGACTGGCTAATACAACAGTGTGACTAATGTGACCAGATAATATACCGTGTGACTAGTGAAAACGAAATGCACTTACTTCATCTTTGAGCCATACGCTTTTCTGTAAAAGGTCTTTCCCGAATCTTGGTTTTCTCATATAATCGAGTTCTGATTTCCACAATCGATTCGGAAGATCCATCATCATAAAATTATACAGAAGTGTCTTCTTTGTTCGATGGAGAACTCATTTTCGTTTGATTTATGATAATCAAAAAGTTGAGAATTGAGAATAGAAGAATCGTTGAGAAAGACGAAATAAAGATGAAGAGAAGAGAGAGAACTTTTGAATTTTGTTTTAAAAATAATTAAATTCATGGAAAAGTGCAGAACTGGAAAAAGTCTACGTCTTTCATTCTTCTTATGCCATATGTCGTTTATAATAAGGTCATTTATGTCTTTTGCTCGTTTTAGTTTTTTTTTAGATTTTAGGGTTTTGGAGGGTATGTCATGAAGTTTTTTTAGCAAAATAAGGGTACTTTTGCTATATTGTCCATTGAAATGTGCATTGCATTATGTCGAATTAAATTGAAACGGTTAACACGTGATTATCGCACCCCGCTTAATTATTTGGGCCGACCGGTTCGGCCCATCCTGTCCACATAAAAAATGAAGGCGGGAACGGGAAAAGAAAAGGTGTAAACCCGATTCTGAAACTTCATTCGTGAACGACTAAAGTTTGGAATGCTATACAAGTTTATATATAGATAAGTCACGTGAGGATGTTAAAGTCGCAGAGGACAAAGAATCAAGAGAGCAAAGGAATAGTACAGAGTACTAACAATAACGGCTGAGGAAACAACGGAGAAACTACATTGGATAATGATATTTTCTGCTTTTCTTTACATACATGATAACTTCTATTCTTCTCTATATTTTGATGAGAGTTTGTCTAGGTTTTATAGGATAATCACATGCATTCATAGGCATTCTAGGCGTGTTAGGACACAAAACTCGGTTGTGTTCTAGTTTTGCAGAGTTACAGGTTTCGGAGATAATTGGACTCGAAAATGAGCTAATTGGAGCGTTAAAGGAGAAGTTCGGATGAGGTACTTATGTTGCGACATCAATAACTTTCTCTACAGAAGTCCAAATCGTGCGAGATTTGTATCATTGGAAAGAGCACTTCAAGAGCTTCGCGTAGACACTAAAATCGCGTAAATCCGACACTGGAACAGAAAGTTATGAGCAAATTCGTGAAGAGTCCGAGTCAGATGGGCAACTTGATTCGGTCCGAGTCAACACTTTGACTCGGTCGAGTCAAAACCCAGAAAAACCCTAATTCCCAATTTTTAGAGTTCTAATGAAAAGAGAACTCTTGGAAGCCGCCCTAAGGTTATAAAATAGACCTAGCCACGTCCTAGAACAGAGGGGAGCCTTAGAGAACACTTAGATACAGACTTTTGGAGAGCTTTTGGGAAGAGAAGAATAGAAGTTCACGGGATTTCGGGAAGAAGAAGGAAGATTCGATCGTGGAGACTACACATCTGCATGAGCCTTTCTCTCCTCTCTTTTATCTCTTTTTCTCAAAACTTTTTATTGTTTTCCATGAACCGTGAGTAGATCCACGGCTGTGGGTTAGGGATTCGTTTGTGTTTTGGGTATGTTTGTACCCTAACTTGGTTGCGATTTGGATTTGTTTTGGTTTTATCGATTTGTGCTTTATTCGATTGGTGTTTGCTGACCCCTTGGCCAATTATTTCAGATCCTGAACTACATAGAAATATGGGTTTAGTTTCGGATCGAAATCGATAGAATAGATTGTATTATTCACATAGGAATATGGTTTGATCGATCTAGGATTGATGATAGTGTTCTTCATGCATCTAGTTTGATAAATCACATAGGGATATGGATTTAGAGAACTTTAGATAGTGAGTTATATGCCGGGAGGTGATTTCTCTATCTTTGTTGCTTGACGATTCCCGAATACAGATTCAATATCGTGATTCTCGCATGCTTAGCATATACCCATACACGCGAATACGGTACCGACACCCACGGTCATCTTAGATTGATAGTTTACTTGTACCCCGTGTTACGACGATCCGTATCCTTGCGGTGAGTTGTGAATCGGGTTATAAATTCTAGACTCGGTACACACGTATCAATACACACATGTTATATGTATAGATTAGTTTCTTTATATACAAGCACTGTATACAGAAACAGTAACACTTGAAAAATACATATCAAGAGAGAAATTTTCTTCTTCTTTTTCCTCTCTACGCCTCTGTAACCTTCTAGGTTGTTATGGTATCAGAGTTCTTTTCTTCTTCCGCATCTTTCTAAACCCTCAGTTTCTCTCTTGTCTGCTCATTATGGCCTCTTACGCTACTATTACTTCCGGTCTTATTCTTGAATCGTCCGACGAAACTTCTTCTCAAACTTAAACACCACCCCAACCCCTGCGCAAACCCAACCACCCATTTCTTCTTCTGATTCGTATGATAACCCTATTTTCTTGCCTCCACTGACCATACCAGCCTATAGCTTGTCACTGACCGTCTCACTGGTCTTGCAGACTTCCATTCCTGGCATCGCTCCATCACCATGGCTTTTGAAGGTCGTAACAAGCTGGGTTTTCTCGACGGCACTTACCTCGTCCTCTGGATGATGATATGAATGCTCGTTCGTGGTCCCGGAACAAAGTTGTGGTCAGTTACTGGATTTTGAACTCTGTTTCAAAACAACTTGCTCCTAGCTTGCTTGATCTTTCGACAGCCCATGAGATGTGGTTGAATCTCACTAAGAGATTTCAACAAAACAACGTTCCTCATCTCTACCGGATCAAGCAAAGCTTACAAACCCTTCGTCAAGGTAACATGGATGTTACCACTTTTCACACGAAGTTGCTTACTCTTCGTGAGGAGGTTAAATCTATTGAAGTAACCTCTCGCTGTAAATGTGGTCTTTGCAAGTGTAATGTTGATCAGAAGTGAAATTCATTTTTTGAATGCAACTTCGTGATTGACTTCCTGTTTGGTTTAAGTGATGCATACGAAGGAATCTGAGGACAGATCTTGATGTTGGAACCTCTTCCTGACTTGGAGAAGACTTTAAGTCTCCTTCTCCAACATGAACAACAACACTTCCGTTGCTCACTGCATGCCACCGACTCTCATGTTTTCCAGACGATGGCTACTCCTGAAATGGGAAACTTATATGTTGCTGCTTTTCAGGGTTCCTCTGTTCGTCCTGGTTCTCGTCCTTATTGCACTCATTGTGGTGGCTCTGAACATACCATTACTTGGTGCTACAAGCTTCATGGTTACCCACCTGGTTTCCGTGCTCCTGGTGGACAAATTTCTCGTCCCAATGCTCGTTCACCGAGACCCTTGTCCCAACAACATAAGTCTTTCCACCTATGGCTTCTACCCAGAACTTCAAGGTTAACGGATCTTTTCAGGGGCAAGTTACAAACACACCAACCCCTGGAAAAGGGATAGTCGCCTCTGTTTCCACCTCTGCCGCTCCATCGAATGCTCAGGTTCGCCCTCTCTATGCTCAGATTAACGACAAGCTAAGCATATCTGGACCGGAGATTACAGACCATGGGGCTGCTGATTCTTTTGAGACTTCATCCTCTGGTAACTTCCTATCTTCTTTTGGTTGTTCTGATGTTTCTTCAACCAAAGTTTTTGATAGAACGATATGGATTTTGGATTCTGGTGCCTCTGTTCATGTCTGTTTGAATATGCATCTATTTTCTGATATGAAGACAGGGAATCCGATAGAAGTTACTCCACCAAATGGTCAGCAGGTTGTCATAACTGATATGGGAACGGTGCATTTGAATCCATTCCTCATTTTTGTCTGATGTTCTGTATATACCCTCCTTTGCGTTCAATCTGATCAGTGTTTCAGCATTACTCAAGGGTTCTTCTACACGTATCACGTTCACTCCAACCATTTGCTTCATCCAAGATTTTATTCAGGGTTGGATGACTGGTAGAGCGGCTCTAGATCAGAATCTGTATGTGTTGGACCAAACCTTCAAGCCCCAGCACAGGTTTCTACTGCTTTTTGCAATTCAACACTGACGGATGCAACCTTGTGGCATGTGAGACTTGGTCATCGATCTTTGGAGAGAATGCAACTTTTATCTACTACTCTATGATTCCCTAAGTGCTTACTTTGCCTCATTGTCATGTATGCCATTTGGCAAAGCATCAACATTTGCCGTTTGTATCACAAAATCATTTTGTTGTTAATATATCTGACCTTATTCACATCGATATTTGGGGTCCATTCAATATACCATCTTTCGAAGGATACAAGTACTTTCTGACCATTGTTGATGATGTTTCTCGTGCCACATGGGTTTAATTTCTGCATCTGAAGTCTGATGTTCATCGAGACGTCGGGGTTCATATCAATACAACAAAACATCGTAAAATAGAAGAAAGGAAGAATGCTTAGTCGATTTCCCGGCTTTGTAATCTCCGTCTTCTACTCCGATCTCTTGCCTCTTGATAATCTCCCTCTTCTTGTGTGCTCTAGGGTGTGTTTTCTGTGAAAAGTCTGAATGTTTTTTTACCTTGGGGGCTAACCCTACTTAATCCTTCTTTTTCTAGGCTAAAATTCGGAATATTTCCAAAATCTGGTAAGTGACCCGATCGTGTGACTGAAAGTGACACGATCGTGCCATTTAACAGTTTTGGCGGGCTTCACAAATTTTCTCATAACTTCCTGCTCTGACATTATTTGGGTGATCTTGGCGTCTATGTGTAGATATCGAAGAGAGCTTTCCAATGATGTAGAGAATGCATGATTTGGACTTGTAAAGTGAAAGTTATTGGACTTGCAAGATCTGACGTTTTCTGAACTTCACGTTTTCCCTAGAGACACTCCAAATGTTCCCGGTTCGTCCGTGATGTTCCGTATTCCATGTTTTCCACTTCTTTTGCTCTCTTTATGTGTGGATTCTTGTTTAAACACCAAAGAACACAACCAACCAATATCGAAGCCAAATGTGCCCTAGAATGTCTACAAATATATAAAATCGAGTGAAATACGCTAGACATCCTATATCAAAACATCACCCGAAATACGTGTTATCAGACTTGGTCATCGATCTTTGGAGAGAATGCAACTTTTATCTACTACTTTATGATTCCCTAAGTGCTTACTTTGCCTCATTGTCATGTATGCCATTTGGCAAAGCAGAAACATTTGTCGTTTGTATCACAAAATCATTTTGTTGTTAATATATTTGACCTTATTCACATCGATATTTGGGGTCCATTCAATATACCATCTTTCGAAGGATACAAGTACTTTCTTACCATTGTTGATGATGTTTCTCGTGCCACATGGGTTTAATTTCTGCATCTGAAGTCTGATGTCCATCGAGACGTCGGGGTTCATATCAATACAACAAAACATCGTAAAATAGAAGAAAGGAAGAATGCTTAGTCGATTTCCCGGCTTTGTAATCTCCGTCTTCTACTCCGATTTCTTGCCTCTTGATAATCTCTCTCTTCTTGTGTGCTATAGGGTGTGTTTTCTGTGAAAAGTCTGAATGTTTTTTTTACCTTGGGGGCTAACCCTACTTAATCCTTCTTTTTCTAGGCTAAAATTCGGAATATTTCCAAAATCTGGTAAGTGACCCGATCGTGTGACTGAAAGTGACACGATCGTGTCATTTAACAGTTTTGGCGGGCTTCACAAATTTGCTCATAACTTCCTGCTCTGACATTGTATTTGGGTGATCTTGGCGTCTATGTGTAGATATCGAAGTGAGCTTTCCAATGATGTAGAGAATGCATGATTTGGACTTGTAAAGTGAAAGTTATTGGACTTGCAAGATCTGACATTTTCTGAACTTCACGTTTTCCCTAGAGACACTCCAAATGTTCTCGGTTCGTCCGTAATGTTCCGTATTCCATGTTTTCCACTTCTTTTGCTCTCTTTATGTGTGGATTCTTGTTTAAACACCAAAGAACACAACCAACCAATATCGAAGCCAAATGTGCCCTAGAATGTCTACAAATATATAAAATCGAGTGAAATATGCTAGACATCCTATATCAAAACATCACCCGAAATACGTGTTATCAGACTTGGTCATCGATCTTTGGAGAGAATGCAACTTTTATCTACTACTTTATGATTCCCTAAGTGCTTACTTTGCCTCATTGTCATGTATGTCATTTGGCAAAGCAGAAACATTTGTCGTTTGTATCACAAAATCATTTTGTTATTAATATATTTGACCTTATTCACATCGATATTTGGGGTCCATTCAATATACCATCTTTCGAAGGATACAAGTACTTTCTTACCATTGTTGATGATGTTTCTCGTGCCACATGGGTTTAATTTCTGCATCTGAAGTCTGATGTTCATCAAGTTTTTCCAGAATTTCTGAAGATGGTTGAAACTCAATTCCAGAGATCTGTTAAATCGGTTCGATCCGATAACGCTTCTGAACTGGCTTTATCCGAGCTTTGCAGAAATAAAGGAATCATTCGTTACTTCTCTTGTGCTTATACGCCACAACAGAATTCCGTCGTCGAAAGGAAACATAAGCATATTCTGAATGTTTCTCGAGCCATGTTGTTTCAGTCAAATGTTCCATTGGTTTGTTGGAGCGCTTGTGTTCGCATTGCGGTGTACCTCATTAATCGTACACCCACTCCACTGCTGCAAAACTAGTCTCCTTATGAACTCTTATATGGCAAAGCTCCAGATTACAGTCATCTTAGCACCTTTGGTTGTCCTTGCTATCGTTCAACTGATGAGCATCGTAAGCATAAGTTTTCTCCTCGAGCAAGTGCCTTAGTTTTCCTCGGATATCCTACTGGCTACAAAGGATACACAGTTATGGATTTGGACACCGACCAGATTCATATCTCTCAGAATGATGAGATCACTGCTTTGACTCAGAATGGAACTTGGTCCATTGAGTCTCTTCCATCTACACATCGCCCAATTGATTGCAAATGGGTATATAAGGTTAAGCGTCATGTTGATGGAACTGTTTCTCGCTACAAAACTCGTCTTGTGGCTCGTGGTTTTACCCAACAAGAAGGACTTGACTACCTCAATACTTTTTCACCGGTTTTAAGCTCACTTCTGTCTGATTACTCATTTCTCTAGCGGTTGCGAGGAACTGGACTTTATCTCAGCTTGATATCTCGAATGCTTTCCTTCACGGCGATTGATAACTCCTAATTCTCTCTATACTTCCTGGACGTTTTATAGGATTTATATGAGGATCATGTTTATTTGTAGGCATTATAGGCGCGTTAGGCCACGAAACTCGGTTTGGTTGTGTTTTTATAGGATTACAGGTCTCGGACGCGATTTGGACCAAAACGGGAGCAATCTGGAGCTAAAGGAATGAAATACGTCAAGAGCTTCCTTCTTGATTCGGCTGGAGTCAGATACCCCGAGTCAGAATGCCCGAGTCAGATACCCCGAGTCAGAAAGCCCGAGTCAGACACCCCGAGTCAGACACCCCGAGTCAGAAGAATGGGCTGGGCCGAATTCTTAATAGTCCCGTTTTGACTCGGTCGAGTCAGAGTACTGATTCGGTCCGAGTCAAAACCCAGAAAAAATCCAGATTCGAATTTTCAGAGTTTTGATGGGAATAGGACTTTGGAGAGCTTTGGTGAGAGAAATAGGAGTAAAACGGGATTTCGGGAAGAAGAAGGAGAGCTGGAACGTGAAGAAC